CAGGCAGAAGCTCACTCAGTGGGATGAGGGAGAGAATGGGAGGAAAAAGGTAAGAAAGCTTGTGGGTTGAGATAAGAACAGTTTAATGACTGCAATAAAATTAAAATATAATTATAGTGATAATAATAAATTGCAATGATAAGACAACAAAAAAAGTAAGAGAAAAAACAGAACCAAGAAAAACAAGTGATGCAACTGTTTATCATCTGCTGACCGCTGCATGGCCAGTCCCCAAGCAGTGATTACGCCTCCCAGCCAACTTCCCCCAGTTTATGTATTGAGCATGATGTCTTGTGGCATGGAGTATCTCTTTGGCCAGTTTGGATCTGCTGTCTTAGTATGAGAAACTGGAAAAGTCCTTGGCTTCATGTAAACATTGCTTGGCAGCAACTGAAATGTCAGTGTGTTGTCACATTATTCTCAAAACAAATCCAAAACTTAGTCTCGTACTGGCTACTATGATGAAAATGAACTCTATCCCAGCTGTAGCCAGCACAAAAAGCTTAGAATTATTGTTTCCTCCTCAATTCTGTAGCTCTCCTCAGTCCTGCCCCCAATCTTTGTGATTTCTCTGTGAGTATTGCATTGATTCAAGTTTCTTTTGTGGCTTTTTTAAGCTTTATTGCTTATGGAAACAAATCATATATGACCAGGCTGTCAGTTGGTGTGTCACAGTCCCCCACACCCCTTGATATTTTTTGACCCAGATTGGCTAATTTAAGCCAATTTTGACAGTGGAATAAACATCTCAGAGATAATTAAGTACCTGTGATTTTGTGAACATGAATAGATGCTTATTAAAAGGGAAATCCTACCAAAGCCCCTCCGTGAGCAAAGACTTAGTGCTGTCTTTAATTAAACAGCAGAACGTCAATGTGCAAGTGAGGGGCACCCATAGCCACTGTCAGTCAAATGCGATACATGAAAACTGCAGCCAGGCTCCTTATTTATGGCATTGCCCATGAAATTATTTGTTTTAATAGATGGCTTTGTCCCACCTCTCTCCTCCTCTGTTTCCAGTAACAAGAACATTAATAAATACAGTAAACCATAATAATACATTGGCTGGCTTACAGCGTGACAGATAGTGGTTGTGTTGCAAAATGCCATGGGAGAAGATGAGCCAGGGTATTTTGAGGTATCTTTCCATCTGCAGTACTGGTACAGCCTATCTTATCAGCCTGCCTGCAGACCTCGTAGTCTGCGGGCCTTATCTTGGCAGTGTGCAGTTTTTGCCGTACAGTTATCTCTGTTTTTCCAGAAAGAAAACTGAGTTAAAGAGAGGGTAAATTACTTGCTTACAGTTGCATCTTTTTGGCATGCATCTTTTTTCCTTTTTTTTCTTTTTTCCTTCCTTTTTTCTCTTCCTTTGTTTAAAAAAATCTTTTTTCCCTGAAGGTGCATGTCCCATGCTATTCACTCTCCTTCTCCTCGAATTCTCCAGCAGCTACGTGTGGCCATGAGAAGCAGGGTCTGTTCTTTCCTTCATAGTTTTCTGTGGTCTTTCTCCCTTCATAGTTCACTCTGGGTATCCAGATTTCTGAATTTCCACCTCCTCTTGTCCTGAAATGCTGTTTCTTGCAGCTGTCAGAGGCTCCTGAAGCTGCACCTGGTGCCTTCCTGCATCCCCACAGTGGAAGCAAACCTTCATGAGCCTCCAGTTGTACTCACACATCTCTGCTCTCCTTCCTCTCTAAGTCCACCTCGAGGACACGCTAAATTGTCTGTTTACTCTTCTCGTGACAAGTGAGTGATTTCTGAGGCTAAGACAGGGGTGACTTTGCAGTCTGGACCTGTTGCTCCGATGACAGTCTGGAAAGGATGGAGTCATCCTCCCTGGCAGTGCCCAAGGCCAGGTTGGATGGGGCTTTGAGCAGCCTGGGCTGGTGGAGGCCTCCCTGCCCATGGCAGGGGTGGGACTAGGGTGCCTTTAAGGTCCCTTCCAATCCAAACTAGGCTGTGGTTCTCTGAGTCTCTGACAGGCTGCCAGCACAGCATGTCCAGAAATAGGTCTACACAGTCACCAAAGGGAAAACTCATGTCCTGGACTCATCTGGTCCACAAGGTTGCAAAGAGAGCTGGAGATAGTGCTGTAGGCTGGTACACAGCAGATAGCAGAGGTTTTTGCTCTTGACAGCAGGTATTTTGTTTGAAGGCAATGACCCCATGGTCTTGGCCTCGTGGTTGTCACTGTCAGTGAATCCCTGAGACAGGAGAAGGTTGAGCCTCCTCCAGGCAGCTGGAGGTGCTGGAGGGGCAGGGAGCAAGAGGAGAGCTACAAGGGAGCCCGTAACATCAATACCAGCTGGGACACGCGTTCATCAAAGCACATTCATGGCAGGGAGCAGATCCTCTGTGCGGAGGGGAAGGGACCAAAGCAGATGTGTTTTCACTCATCCCGGCAGAGCTGAGCGTTATTTGAACAAAGCTGAAAAGCCACAAGCCAGATAAGCTGGAAAAAGTGCTGAGAGGGAACCTTCTTCCTGCAGGCAGTGTGCTTTCAAACCTTCCTCTCTATTTTCCGTCTTGAAAAAACACCTTTTTCCCAGTTTAGTCCGTGCTTTCACAGAGCTTTGCTTTATGAAGTGGCTGTTTGGTATCTATTAAGTGTTCTCAGATTCAGGAGAGAAGGTGAACAAGTCCCACCATGAGCACCCAGCACAAGGACCTTGTGTTTTGCAGAAAAAGCGTGAGTTGTGGGCATGAGAGAGAGAGAGGGACTCACGCTGGTGGAAAAATGCAGTCAGAAATGCTTGGAGAACCAGAACAGTGCTCATCTGCTCCTTCTGGCATCTTCATGAGTTGGTTCTTCTCTGGGCCTACTCCAAGTGATCCAGGTCTCCTGGGGTTTCACCTGTGCTCAGGACCAGCTATGACACACAAGTGAAAAATAAGAATGTTTTATTCATGTTGGGAATGTTTTATTAAACAGTCTTTTTCTTTTTTTTCTTTTTTCCTTTTTGTTTTTGTGAAGTATAAAATATTTTTCCCTTTACTCTCTTGTGGAAAAAGTTATTTCCACTTTTGTGTGTCCCATCAGATTCAGAAGGAGCTGTTAAAGCCTTCAAAACAGCTGAAAACAGCATTTCAGTACCTATGAAAGTCCCTGATTTAAACTCTGATTCCTGACAGCCTTATCAGGTCCATAGACACGGGGTAGATCTGGGGGAAAACTGGGCCTGTTTCTCACTGGTACGAGTCTATTGTTTCTGTCTCTGGAGACCTGAAAATAGCCTTTAATTATTTTTTCTTGCAGACAGGAGTTACGGTGCAGGCTGTATGTTGTCAGTCCTGGCATTCAAGCAAAATATTTGAGGTCAGGACAGCGTGAAGAGGTGATGCTCCTAGGAGGGACTGCTTTAAAAAACCCCCACAGTGCTCTACATGGTTCAGGACAGAAGACCCATGAGGGCAACCGAATTCTCAGAAGGCACAAAAGTCAAAAGCAGTGTTTAAATGAGGCTTTTCCGTATCTTCACCCTCCACACTGTAGCCCCTGCCCTTCCATAAGTGAGGGCTGGTGGCCCTGAAGGCACCGTGTGTGATCTGCAAGACCACAGGCACCTTCAGAGATGGTGCTTTCGTGTGTGTTGTGCTGAGAGGAGCAAGAAATTGACCGTAAACCCAGTGATAGGGTGGGAATGATAATTGGTCATGGCCAAACCTTTCTCGTCAGAGCTTGCAGTGCTTTGTAATGATCAGATGCTGGCACCTGAACAGCTGCCCCTGATGGGATCGGTGGTGGGAGCTCACTGGGATGCCCACCATGCAAACTGGGATGCTCATTATACAAACTGAGATGCCTATCGTACAAACACTGATACCCTGTGGGCAGTTATCAAGTCTCACTTTTGCATGACCACAGAGAGCAGGAAGTTGGGTCCTTGGCTGTGGGCCGCTCCTCATGTGGCGCTGCCAGGTATTCCTGCCCCAAGGGGACATCTAATTCCTTTTTTGTTCACATATTCCTTCTGGCTTTGTTAGTGCAAATCTCTATGAAAAAAAAGCCATTTTAATAAACCTCCTGTGATAGAAAGGTGCCAACTGCATTTCGGTTTGGAGTCTTGAATTCTGAGCTGATTTCCGAATTGGCACAATTCTCCTTCATTGCATGGCCGTTATGAGCTGGATAAAACCAACAGTCAGTTTTTAATGCCAAATATTCATAAAAAGGAGAGCCATAACTTGCAGTGATAAAGTGCTAGCTGGGACTGGTGGTTCAAATGCTCTGATGTACACTGGGATGGTGTGTGGGCATCTCAGAGAGACACAGGGAGGCAAACAAGTGCCATAGCCAGGACTGTTAAATCTTACTTTCATAGAATCATTAAGGTTGGAAAAGCCCTCTAAGTTCATCAAGTCCAACCCTCAACCCAATGCCACCATGGTCACTAAACCATGTCCCCAGATGCCACATCCACACAGTTTTTGAACCCCTCCAGGGATGGGGACTCCACCACTGCCCTGGGCAGCCCTTTGCAGTCCCTGAGAACCCTTTGGGGAAGAGATTTCCCTTCAGATCGAATCTCACCCTCCCCTGGCACAGCTTGAGGCCATTTCCTCTTGTCCCATCGCTTGTTTCTGGGGAGCAGAAACTGACCCCCTCCTCTCTACCCCCTCCTTTCGGGAGCTGCAGAGGGGATAAGGTCTCCCCTCACCTCCTCTTCTCCAGGCTGAACCCTCCAGTTCCCTCAGCCACTCACTATCATTTGGGTGCTCCAGCACCCTCGCCAGCTCCGTTGCCCTTTTCTGGCCACGCTACAGCTCCTCAACATCCTTCTGGGAGTGAGAGGCACCCCCTTTAACCACTTCAAACAGCTGAGCACCTTGTCTCATAAATGCAGTAGCATTGCAGAGTCTTCTAACATTCGCAGTCAATATACATAGCTGTCTGCGTGTAAGTTGTTTCTTGATACGTAACAATGGCTGTACAAGCAAGAAAGCCACCTTTATATTTTGATGATGCTAATTGTTGACCCGTCTCTCTTTCTCCTTTGAAGTCCCACCCAATTTGACTGTTCCTCAAGAGAAGTCCCCACTGGTGACGCGGGAAGGGGACACGATCGAGCTGCAGTGCCAGGTGACCGGGAAGCCCAAGCCCATCATCCTCTGGTCCCGAGCGGACAAGGAGGTGGCGATGCCGGACGGGGCGATGCAGACAGAGAGCTACGATGGGATCCTGAGGATTGTGAACGTGTCCAGGGAGATGACGGGGACCTACAGATGCCAGACTAGCCAGTACAACGGGTTCAATGTGAAACCCAGAGAAGCTTTGGTGCAGCTCATTGTACAGTGTAAGTACACCCTTATTTTCTTCCCATGTGGTTTTGCTGAGAAAAAGTTGATTTCTTTCTTTTTTAATGTTTTTAACAGAAGCAAGGGTCTCACATTTGTTCCATTTTTTTGATGCTGCGTTGTTTGGCTCTGTACTTCCCTGACTCCACAATTTTAATGTAAATTTAGAAATAAAAATGAAATAGGAGTCCCAATCATATTAAAAAAAACAAACCATGAGGCAATAACTATTTTCCCAGTGCCTACCTCTAAATTTCATGTCACAGGAGCAAGCACATGAGCTAGGAGGACATATTTCCATAAACAGAGATCTGATACTGATCTCATTTGTTGATACTGTGTAAAGCAAGAAAAAGAAAGGAGAAAAAGAGCTGTTCCATCGTCGCTGATCTGCACACAGAGCTGCATCGTCTGCTCTGCCTGAGTGTGAACTGTCAGC